AACAAACAAAAAACCCCTTCAATAATTTAAATAAAACCAGCGCCCTTTCTAGAATTGCAGCCACAGTTTGAGTCTCTGAATTCTAGTAACCAGAGTTGCTTTAATTATCAGAGTCAGAGCCTGCTTAGCCTGTTGAAGTTGAGGTGGCTGGAGTCTGGCTGTACCATTCAAATTCACATCTTCACTTCCACACAGCATACACATACACACGAAGGAAGAGAATTAGTGAAGTATGTACAGTAGGCTTACATGCCTGTGGCTGGCGCTGAGAATTTAAAGCTATAACCTTATTAGAGTTTGTAATACACTTGAATCCCATCACATAAATTTGGCCTACTATGACTAGATTTGCCTGTGAAATTCATGACACTGAGAGGCATGGTGAACCTATGGCACATATTTGTGTTTTTTTTTTTTTTTTAAATCACTGATAGTGCTCAAAGGTTCACCATGCTTGGTACCACACCAGATCTTGTGCCAGGAAACACAATACACTTAATATTCTGATATTTATGTCACTATATAAGGATTAACTGTAGAAGTCACTAGAACTTCTACTGTATACTATCAAGTCTTTCCTTTTGGCCTTGATATGTATAAAAAAGCAATAGGGCCTCAATAATCCATTTCCTCTGGGAACTGAGTCTTGACTGATCCGTATTTACTGTGGATGGATCTTTCTGATCATAGCTATTTAGTTGTGTGATATCAGCACCATGCAATTATCTGTGACCTTGGTTTCTGTTAGTTTGTGCTTTTTTGATATCTCAGTTTTCTGTACAGGATTCTAGAGCGCTTTATGGAGAGTAAGGAGTCTTCATGTGTCTGCCCTTTACACCTACTTAATCTAAACTTTCTCACATTTCATTTGAATAGAAAAATTACGCTGCTATGAAAGTTTTAAATGTTACTCTCTAGAGACATAATAGTTCCTCCCTTCTCGACCTCATTATATTTCTTGTAAGGAGCAAATAAAGTTATAAAAAGAAAACTAAAGGAACTTTGAGACATTAAATGAATGTGAGTTAAGGTTAGGGAAACTTTGGGGTTTTTGTCACTTGTGTGTCATTCAATCATTTGTTTAAGTATTAGTACACACACACACACACACACACACACACACACTTATACACCCATGCACAATATGCCAGAATGGTGGGGCTGGAAAAAAGCAATGAATCCTAACTCAATGTGTTAGCTAAAGCTGCTTTAACAAAGCATCACATACCAATGGACAACATAAAACAGTTTCAGAGGCTGAGATCGAAGTATCACCCAGATAATCTCTGTTCTAAGTCTCTCTTCTAGTTTCAGGTAGTTAGTTGGCAATCTTGGGCATTCTGTAGCTGGTAGAGCCATTCTTTGCCTCTTCATATCCACATGGCAGTCTCCTGTTGTGCACATGTGGGTCCAAAGCACCCTCTTTTATAAGAATAGCACACACTGAGTTAGGGGCCCACTTTCTCTAACCGCTTCATTTTAATTACATCTGCGATGGTCCTAAGTCCTAATAAACTCATATTCTGAGGTACTTAAGAGTCAAGACTTCAACATATAAATTGGGAGGAATCAACTCATAATGTTCACAAACCATCTGCCAAAACTTAGATGCTACAGACAAAACCTATGAGTTGTTAAAAACAATGTTTTGTTTTCCTTTTTTGAGAAATATGTATTTCCTCTATAAACTCCTGAAACAAGGAGTTTTAATTTAGAACTCGTAGACTATCTGGGTATGGGAGAGTGGAAAGGGCTGACCTCATTCTTGAGCACCCCCCTCCATGCTCTGATGTTTCCTACCACTGCTGACTTTCTCTTGCACTCTGTGGATACCAACAAGCACATTCAAGCTACATCAGGGGGCCTTCCGCTGGTCATTTCAGGGTCTTCTCTTTGCTATCACTGGTGATGTATTCTGACTTCCTGGTTAGTGGACCTGGACAGAAGTCTGCAGAGGTTGGTTGGTCAGGGAATTCTGGGATCCTTAGATATTTAGCATGGTCTAGAATAAAGGTTGTGGGTGTAAGAATGATAGCTGGAAGCCTCAGGATTCTCTACTATGAGGGTACCCAAAAAGGCCTCATCTTTACTATACCTGAGGCTGCACTTTTGGGGAAAAAAAAAACTCAACAATTTTAGTGCTTATTGTCTAGTGATGGGGGGACAAAAACATAAATAAACAAAGAAAATTAGAAGTAAATATATAGATTGTTTAAAGTGACAAACATAAGAAAAACTTGACCAGAGTAGGAAGTATCTGGTGTATATACGGAGGACATGCAGTATTCTGGGTGAGCTTGAGAGACATGGGAACATCTGAGGAAGACCGCAGAGGTGTGAGGATTTGAGAAGTTGACATATGGTGGAAAAGCGCATTTTGAGAAGTTGCTGGCTGATCAAAAATCTCAAGAATGAAGCCTGCCTAGAATTTTCAGGGGATGGAAAAGAGGCCAGTATTTCCTGGATGCTCTGAGCATGTATATAATAAGAGTTAAAATCAGAGAGATAGCTGATGGGAGGTCAGATCACACAGGGCCTTTTAGGTTATTTTGAAAGCTTGGGCTTTTGCTCTGAAATTAGTTTCCCCTGTGGAGTTCTGAGTAGAAGACTGCATGATGATTTTAGTCGCTGTGATAGGAATAGACTATCATGAGTGTAGGAAAAACCTAGGAGAAACTAGGAGACTGTGTGGAAGATGATAACAGGAACTTGGACCAGAGGAACAGCAGGTAGAATGTGATACATGATTGAACTTGGGATATATTTTGAAGGTCAAGTCATTAAGAGTTCTTAATAGATTGAGTTACGTAAGTATATGGATATGCACAGAGGAGGAGGGGGAGAGAGAGAGATTAAGGATGACATCAAGTTTTTTCATTTTGCTCTTAATAACTGAAGGATGGATTTACTATTAAGTAAAAGGGAAAAGGCTGTGGATAAAACAGGCTTACAGGGAAATATCAAGAGTATAGTTTTGGAGACAATGATTTTGAGATATTTATTAGATATTCAAGGGGTATTCTGAGTAGGCCCTTGAATACTTAATCCTGGAATTTGGGAGAGATTCTGGGCTTAAGTTATAGAACTAGGAATCATGAGCATAAGTGATACTTAAAACCTTGAAGCTCGAAGGAATCATTAAGGAGATGAAAAGTGGTGGAGAGGATAAAGGATGGCTCCTTGAGCATCCAGCATTTCAAGGTGCAGAGAAAACTCAGGCAGAAGACTGAAAATATGACAAAGCATAGGAAGCTGTGGTGCTTGGAAGCCAAGCAGAAAATCGTGTTGTAGCTGGCAGAGTTATTGGTTGCGTTCCATATTATTGGTAGATAAGATCAGAATAGGACTGACTTTTGGATTTTGCTGTTCAAAGGTCAGTAGTGAATTGACAGAAGCAGTTTTGTTGGAGTGATGGGGGAACACCTGCTTGGATTGGGTTTGACAGGAAACTGGAGGAAACTGGAGAGAGGAGAGACAAACATTTGGAGTTGTGCTGCTCATTGGGTCAGTGTTAACAGGTCATCATGTGAAAGGGGAAGTTGGGTAATGGGAAATTTGTTCAATTCTGGGAGAAATAATAATGTGACTGTATAGTGAAGACAATTGTCTACTAGGCAGTAAGAATCAATGCTTTTTTTGGGGTAGAAAGGGAATTCAGTAGCAGTAATTCTGAGTGAGTCAGAGGAGGTGGCGTCAAATGTATATGCAGAAGGGCTGATTTTGGGCAGGAACATGGACAGTCAGTCCTCTGTGGTACTGAAGGTGGAGCATAGAATGCACTCCTTGGAGTTGGAAATAACAGTGGGAATCTGTGGAGGCTTTCTTTGACAGATATCCAAGGAAAGAACAATCATTAGCTTAGAGTGAGGATTAGGGTGGAGGTGGTGTGGTTTTAGCAGAGAGGAGAGGGTTCAATCATGGTCTAGCAGAAAGAGAGAGAAAATGGTACTGGAACCTGTATTTAGAACCATTCAGGGCGCTCTGGCATTTGATTATCACATGTTTCAGAAGAGATCTGGTTGGCCCAGAGCAGACATTGAAATACTGTTTGGTAAAAAAACTACAGACTTTTATATGATTATCTGGTTATGTAGATGACCTAGCAAAATAGCTTAATTCATTTTTTTATTTACATACAGTAAAATCTTAAACAGGCAAGTATTTAAAAATGTTAAGTAATTTGAATGGTCGGGATTTTTAAACATGTCCTGTTTGATTCTCTCAAAAAGTGAGCCTAGCATTTGGAGTTATACCTACTGTGCAGGTGGAAATCTGTACAACTGTTCATTCATGGGCTGGAGGCAGGTTGAGAGGTAGGGAAAGTACTTAATGTGCAAAGACAAAAAAAAGTTTTGATCAAAGGAGAGTGTTTTAGCAGTTTGAGATTACTGGAGCTCGGAAGTAATAAAGTTTAAATTGTGATCATGTCTTTAAGTAGGAGAAATCCAGTGTTAGGATTGATCAATATTTAAAAAAAAATTACTGTGCAAAGGAATTTCTTCTCAACAAGAAAATTTCAGAATTTCAGGCATTTATAATTTTTATTTTTTTTCCTTTCCACTTTCTCCTCTCTAGTGAGTTTGACTCCAGGGGCACTGTACCCCTGAGCTACCTCCATGTTTCTCCCCCTCTCTTTTTATTTTTAAATTTTGAGACAGGGTATCTCTAAGTTACTCAAGGCTGGCTCTGAACTTGATGAGATTCTGCTCTCTTCTGAGAACAGGATCTTTCTGAGTAGCTGGGATTACAGGTATGTGGCAAAGGGTCTGGCTTGGGTTTGCAATAGAAGGTAATTTTGCTGGAGTTTATCAATTTTGTCAGTAAATAGGGTTAGGAGTGAATATGTAGATAGTATATTCCTATTTTCATTCTAAATATCTATTACAGTTATATTTAGAACTTGAATTAATTGATTAGATTTATTGATGTGCTTCTCTTTCCTGGAAAATACATTAAAAATATTACTTTTAACTGTAGGCAAACAAGACAAAATGCGAGCATATATTTGATTTAAAAGATGCATTGAAATTGACTTTTCTGTTTTACATATTGAATTTTACATGAGGAGCATTCCATTTGAGGAGTAGAGAAAACAAGGGAAGAACAGATAGAGAATGAATAATTATAAAAGACTGATCCTGATTTCTTTTTTTTTTATGTCCTTAATACCCTATGCAACAAAGATGTCCTGCTTTTGTGATAGAGAAAACTAGAAGTGAAAAAAATACAAGTAGTTAATGAATAATGCATGTGCTCATTGCAGTGGTCAAATTATACTGTTTCCTAGTGGATACCATTTTTCTTCATTGAGCGGGACACTACAGAGCTGGATGTTAATTGCTCCCACAAAAACAGTTTTACTCTTCACAATAAGCATCAAGACATGTCCTTGGAGCTCTGTGACTTCATCATATACCACCTGAAAAAGAGAGAAAAATGAAATACAGATAGAGAACAAATGGTTATGAAATACAGTTATGACATGCTTAAATGTATCTTTCTTTTGAATACTGCTTTTAATAAAAAATGTAGCCACTAGTATCTCATACCCTAACATGGATAAATTAATGTTTGAATCTTTCATTTCTAATGCTAATTCCAAAAAGTAAAGTTCTATTAGTATAACAGTGTTTAATGACTGTTTCTCAAAGCATATTAGAGCCTGCTGATTCCATTAAAATTTACTCACTCCAAATTTAGTGAGACCATAAGTTATTTTCTAGGAACAAATTTAGAGGTACTTCACTATTTAACATTCTTGATTTACTGCATATCACTGGAAGTTGAACACCGTATTTCTATGTTAAGGCTAATAAGGAAGACAATTTCTATGATATTTTGGGTGCTACTTCAATGTAATCCAACAGTATTTTCTTGTCTATGGAGGAGAAATTGTCCTATAATTTCTTTTTTTTTTTTTTACTTAAAATTTCTTAATTTTTAATTAAGAAAGTACATGTTTATTCAATAAAATATGTATGAAAGAAAAAAAGAATAAGGAGGGAAAATTTGAATTTTCACCATTGGGAGATAATTACAGTTAATATTTTTGATATTCCTTCTGTTTTCTGTGTACAGTCACTTTTTAAGAATCTGACTTCCAGTTATATTATGTACGCAGTCTTGCATCTTGTTCTTTCTCATGTGATTCTTTTTGTAAAAAGGGGGCTCTATACAGCTGTGTTTTGTAATATCTAGAGAGTAAGTTACAAATATCACCAGGGGGCGTTTCTGGGGGTACACAGAAGCTGAAAATGTACTACAAAGACAGTACTTACCCATATGAAAGCGGGTGGGGGACTGAGTGGAAATTTGACATGGTTGCCAGGTAAACATGTTAAAACTTATTTAGAAAAGGAGTTCCACAAGATGCTACCAACTTGCTTTTTATAGGTACCTCACAAGATGGAAAGAAGCTTTCTCAATATCTGTAACCCAGATGCAGAGAGGGTCCCTGGGGGCTAAGTGGGTGGTCTCCTCCATAGGTGTGGATGTGGTGTCTGGACCTTTGCACAGCATGGGGTACCATTTCTGAATGTATTACCTTATCAGTGAAATTCAGTTCAAGATCGGTCTACCAGTCGCCCTGAAAATCATGCATTTATCAAACAAATCAGGACCCAGTCAAGGGATGTGAGATGCAACATAATGTCAGCCCAGGCTAAGCTGCTCCAAGACTTCCTATTGACTACCTCTCCTAGTACCTTGCTTTTATTCTTTTAGTTTTCTAGGATTGCTCATTCAAATTATTCACTCTCATTTATTGAGCTCACCTGTGATAATAAAAGATTTAAAGAATTACCCTATACAAAGCCCTTCGCCTCTAATTTGTCCTTTAACAGTGGCTGGATGTCTAAGGTTGCCTGGATAGGCAGGTCTCTTCTCTTTCATCACAGTAATCGCTGGAAATTTAAAATTGTTCTCCATTTCCTTTCCCTATAATTCTGTCAGCAGATGAACTCCTCTCTGGTTTTACAGAGAAAACAGATGAAGGAGCTCTCAAAATGTTACAGTGTCTGCAATACAAAAATGGAGTAACTAACTACAAGCTCCAGGCCTCTGGAAAATTCTGGCTCAAAGACTTTGTGAATTCTATGATCCTGAAAATAGAAGGTTTTAGAAAAATGTACCAGGAGTTTACATTTGCATGGATCTACTGTTATCTGTTTTCTTACTTGCATAGTGGTGATAATACTTATGTTTAGCATTGGGAGGAAAAGTAAACAAGAATAATGTAAGCTTTACTGCAAAGCCTGGACTCTATGTAACTCTGATAAATTACAAGTAAAATATTTTCATCAAACACATGAAAAGGGGAATTATTTCTTGGTATTTTGCATCAGCTTTTCCAGAAAAAATACTGATTCTCTTGCCTATTTAGCAAACTGAAAGTTGAAGAAATGACTTTAGAAATTAATTATCTTTTTGGTTAAGTTTTAAAAAGAATACTCACATTTGAACTTACAAAGTTTATATTACTTAATGGAGTTTTAAAACTATGCTTCATTATATAAAAGTTGTTTTCTTAAAACTGAGTTTTATAAACATGTAATTAGTGTACATCATGCATGATATACATCACTTTTAATTGCTTCATTGCATCCATAACATTTCTGTTTAAAAGACACTTTTTAAAAACCTGTGCAATGAATAATTACTAGGCAATGTAAGAGAGGTACACAGATAAATATATTCTTTGAGATGTTTTCACAAAATGATTTAATATACATTCTCCCTTCATATAAACAGAATCATAAATGAATTGTTATTTTAATTTCACTATAATAATTTTTATCTATAAGGATGAGCCAAGTCTTTACTACATTCTGACAAATACTTAATTTGTGGGTGTGGAATTATTATATACAGTAGAAAACCTGGAATATAATTGGTGTCTATTAATTTATAAACAAGCATTCACTGTACATTACTTGACACGAGGGGCTAATAAATAATTTTACGGTATACCTTCATGATTGCAGTGGGAGGACAATAAGACACACTGGTATGTTGAGTGCTGATTAGAAAGAATTTTGAGGTGGCAGGACGATAAAAGACAAGTGAAATCAGGAGGACACTGTGGGGAGAGATCATTTAGTATGGTAGAGCTCTATACAGATTTTGGGATTCGGCAATTCTAAGCTTGAAAGCAAGTTATGGGACCTCTGGGCCTCAGTATCTTCATTTACAAATATAGGCAGGTGTTACTTAATGATGGTATACGTTCTGAAAAACATGCCATCAGGCAATTTTGTTTTGTGAACCTCAAGTTGTGCAAACTAAGCTGGCTCTAATGCCAGCAGGTGATGCAATTTTAGGGAGGCACTGCCTCATATCCTTGACTGAAAGATTATTATGTGGTGCATGATGGTACAATGCTCATTATATTGTAAGGATCAAATGAAATGATGAACAGGTAAGAAGAGCTATTGCATGTTGAGTGCACTGTATGTCTAGTGTTGTGCCACACTCACTGCATAAAGTATTCTACAAGAGATTTTAAAACAGGTGAAGCGCTTAGGACACTCCTGCTCTGTCCTTTCTAAATTTTCTTTTCCAGTTTATAACAGGATAATATCTGAGAAAGGGATGCAACTTATCAAATACATTGACTCTAGGGCTTGCAGCCAGAAACCTCGCTCTTCTTAAGGCTGTTCTGGCAGCAACCTGAGCATCCTGTCCCCAGCCCCACATGCACTTTGAGCCCAGTCTTGCCTTCACTGGGATTTGCATGTAACAGAGTTTTTTAGAGAGACTGACCAAACCTGCTGAGACACATTCTGGGAAGTATCAAATAAAGGAGCTGGGCTGTGTACTAAAGCTTTATGTTTTGGAGAGTGTAGCCTCAGCTATTTGACATTGTCCCTGACTTGGCCTCTGTCATGTCTGAGTATGATGGGCCAAGGATAAAAATGGAAAGAACTATTTTCATGAAAACTTTGTAATATATTGGTATGCAATGTGATATCCCTTTAGTATTCATCTGAGAGATTTATATTAAAAGACAAAAAAGGAGGGTTTGGGCAGGTTGAGGAATCCCAGCTGTGGTGAGGCTGGTGTTGTGTGCAGAGGTGGAAGCAGGCAGACACTTAAAAGAGGGTGGCACTTGGTGGTGACTCTCTGGGCCCTCTAACAAGCGCAGGATTTACTAGCAAGGAAATCTAGTAAGGGGTCCTTGAAGACGCATAAAAGTAAGTTAAAGATTTGGCAGAACAATGGTCCCTATGTCACAAATGAGGGAAAATCAGATACAGAAGTGGTGTACTTTTTTGGCATTTCTTATAAATATTTTTGCTGTATGGTACAGACACAGCATAATGAGAGAAAAATGAGACTATCATGGCCTCTTTTTTCCTCATGGCTGTCCAAAATCAGCCAGCTCCCTTGCCAAACTCGTATATGTGATGATCTCTTGCTGTCTTGATGACTATCATTAAAATAGCCCCTTATGCACACATCATTTCACGTTTCTTTTGGACTAGATTATGCACAGATTGGAACTGGATATGCACCGAATCTGGTTTTTTCTTTTGTAGTAATTATATACAGGGCCAAAGTCTAAATAGTGTGTGTTTGAGTCACAATTATAGTTAAATTCTGAAAGCATGTAGTGATTTCTAACTAGTGAACTGTGCATGTCTGAAGATACAGAATTATTTCAAGATATCAGGAAATTATGCATGTAGCATTATAAAGTAATCTGCATGCATGCATTTTTACTGATGATTTTATTTAATTTTTTTATTTTAAAGAGAAAAAATAAAAATAATTATAAAAAAGTTTCAAAACATGTTAGTAGGAGAGTTACAATAATTAATACATTGCATATAGTTGTCTTTGTAGTAGGTATTCAGAGTATGACATATAGCCATGACAGCTCAGCCGGACAATATTAGCACAAATCTTCCTTTTCAATGAAGAGAAACTAGCTATATAATTATCTTAACTATGTTGTATATAAACATATTTTTTCTTTTTCCCTTTCTTCCTTGCCCTTTTCCTCCATCATAGTTCATCTTTTCTTTTAAACAGTGTCTTCCCAGTGGACAATGTCTATTGCACATTTTGGATCTTATTTGCTCATTCAGTTTCTCACACAAGTGAGACAACATGGTGTTTATACATATGAGTCTGATCTATTTCACTGAAGAGTGTGGTTTCTAGTTTCATCTATCTACCTATAAAAATTTCTAATTTATCCTCCTATATTGCTGAATAGTAATCCATTCTTTGATTGATAGTCATTTGGTTTAATGGTCAAGATTTAGCTATTACAAATTGTTCTTCTGGGAAGACACTCAGGAGGCAATAGCAGGGTTGAGTGGGACCTCTACTGCTAGTTTTTAAAGGAATTTCTACAATGATTTCCATAGTGATTGCATCAGTCTACACTCCCACTAACAGTAGAGAAGGGTTTCT